TGGTTAGATTAGAGATGACTTTACAGTAACCTGACATGACAGTTTCTAAGATGGTCCTTCAATCTCAAATAATAAACTATTTTCAGTTTGACCATCTCTGATTTGCATAAACATTTTATGGTCCACAGCTTGAACAAGTGTAATGAAGAAAATAGCATTAACTTCTTTTTTTTGACTAAGAATTTCATGTAAAAATGTATTCAGTATGTTTTGTTTTGCATTATTGTGAAATTCAACTATATACTATTCAGAAATTGTCACCAATTGTGTTTTGACATCTTTTTAATGTTTAATTCTAATGAGTTTGCGGTCAAATACGGGGCTTTATAAGACTGCTTAAGTTTTTGGGGGTTTTTTGTCCTCAATACTGAGACGTTTTTTGATCCGTCTATCCCAATTTCACAGCTATTGATTCATTTTGATGGTAAGAAAGGGCACTGAAAATTTCAGGTTTGTATCTTTAGTTTTTGAGATATTCGTGTTCAAACAAAAACAACAAGAGAATTGCTGCAAGTGGTTTGACAAAAGTATTTGAAATAAAAAAATCATTATATAGAAGTCCAAAAATGGGACCATAATATTTTTAGGCAAAATTGGAGATGGTTGAGGTAAAGGCCCACAGTGATTTGAGATCAAAGAACCCAAAGGACACTTGTAGCTGAAGGCAGTGAAAACAGCGAATGGAGTCAGCAGCATGCTCCTCCTGTGCTCATATATTAGCCACTCAGGAATGGCTGTACAAGTCCCAACATATAAAAAGCTATTTTCAGAGGCAAACAGCTTTTGTGTGTCAATGTCATTCAATTTGTCAAATACCTGGAGAAGAAAGGCCACTGTGTAATTCAGTATCCTCTGATTATTTACAATATATATGTCTGTAATAGTCTCTCATATAATGATCCAAGACTGGGTAAAAATGGGGGAAAAAATCTTGATGATTTTCCCCCCTCACATCAGTCAATATTGATATATAATCACGATATATATATTTAAACCAAGATGAACTTCATGAGTTTGTCATAAGCTGAACATGATAAATGTACTGCAACACTGTAACTGTATTTTAAATAAATACTGTTGTAGTATATAGACAAACTCTTTCAAATTGTTGGCCACATGAAGTGCAGTACTGGGTAGTGAGGCTCATAAATGGGCCAGGTGTGCGCTTTGCACTCAGCTGCTTAAAATATGACATTTTGGACCATGTTTACCGACATCGTGTCTTGTAATGTGTGTAAGCCGCCATTGTGGAAACATGTTTTCAACACAGTTTACAGTGTATACTGCTCTGCTTCTTTGTCAGACTTTAAATAGCCGAAATATCGCCACATTAATTCCTCAATAGTGTCCTAATCCTTTGAGTATCAGGTTGTATCCACTGCAGTGTCATATTTGGTAACAAAGTCGTTTGATTTTTCAATAACAGTCTTTGTTCTCATTTTCTCTTTTATCTCACTCGAATTCCTAATATACTGTAGTGTGTAGCAGCCCAAACGTTAGCACATGTGCTGACTATTCTTACTGTCATTGGCCTTCAGTGTTGTCAGTAAAAAAAACAAACCATGGATTTGGATGAGCTCCATGCAGTTTATATTGACCTTGTTTAATAATGCCATCTTGGAAAGTTTTTGCACGATAATTATTTTTATCGTTTTATCACCTGGCTCTATAAGAATCACTCACTTTTTTTATACTAGGTTTCCTTTCAGACAGCACCGGCACTGCTGCAGAGCTCCAGCATGTTTGCAGGTTGCGACACTGGAAGAGCCATAAACGTGGAGTTCGTGTTGTGATGTGGGTTGTATGCAGGTAATAAAAATATTTCAGACTAATCTGCCTTAAGCAACCATGTTCATCTCTTGGCTTTCCCCTCCATGACATTCCTAATCTTCCACTTTCTATCCAGCTTTCACACCCCGCAGGAACTCTTTTACATAACAGATTGATTGGGTAGCTAATGATTTATGAATAATACATGTTCAATATTCAGCACTTGCCCACATGGGACACAATCGTGTATCCGGCAGTGACCATGAGCCACCAATACAACCACAGAAGAAAGGGGATGAGGAGCACTTGGTATGCACTTGTTTTCTAGCAGTCGCTTATATAGACGCATGTGCACAATGAGGAAAAGAGATGAAAAGAGCTCTATTTAAAGCCATGTGCTCCTTTGTTACAAGTGTCTTTGAATGGGCTATTCCAATTCAGTATAAGATGCTATTGAGCTCTTATGCTGAATTGGACAGACACAGATGCAGCATCGTTTTATATGTTTGTGCTCGCTGGAGGATAAATATAATCTTTCCAGTCGTGGGGTTGGGGTGGAGGCCTAAGCTTAACTCCTAATAATCTATAACCCCTTAACTCTAAATGGAAGCCCTAAAGTGCTGCGAAGCATCCATGCTGGAATACATCTGACATCTAACATCAGAGATCAAACACGCAGGCTTTATGCCCCATCTGTTTATGTAATTCATATGGCGATACCCACAATGAAACCATAAATATCACAACATCTAAATCCTGGCTCCTGGCAGATTCAGCTGGGCTCTGCAGCCCTCTGGAAATGACAGATTTGTTTTAAATTTGTGGTAAGACGACATGTTTTAGAACTGGGTGGGGGGAATCTCCCGTTGAACACAGTCAACAAGCTAGCTGAGTGCCAAGGGAACTGTGGTACAGCGCAAAGAACATCTAGGCTGGCGTTGTGAAAAAACAGAGACCCCTCTGGGAGAGAGAAAATGAAAACAGACACAGATGCAGCATCAGATCTGACGAGATATGATACTGTTTTGATTTCCCCACAAACACCGTGGATTCATCTCATCCTGCTAGACTATCAACAGAAATTTGAAGTGACAAGTGACTTAACAAACATGCTCTGTTATTAATCACAGAGGTGAAGATAGCAATATTTAGCACTTATGAATACACTGTAAAAAAAACAAAAAACATGTTTGTCATGTTTTTGTATACAAATACACTTTGAAGATATACAACATATCAATACAACAGTGCACTTGCCTTATACCTGCTTTGGCTTGTGAATGTCAATAAGAGGATTTACAGCTCTTTAAGGTACAGCTATACTCTGACATCTTTACCTTCTTTCTGCTGCTCACTTTAGGGGTCACTACAGGTAATCATCTGCCTCCATTTCAACCTATCCCTAGCATCCTCTTGCCACGCCAACCCCATTCACCTTCCCTCCTACCTCATAGCTTCATCTTTTCCACCCAGATGTCTGCTATCTGCTCTGCACATTTCCAAACTCAGCTTTGCCTCTATTTGCGTCTAAACCGCTCAACCTGAGCTTTCCCTCTGATGTACTCATTTCTAATCCTTTCCATCTTAGTCGTTCCGAACAAAACCTTGGGAGGATACCCTGCCACATCAATCATATCCATACATCATAAACCACCATCATAGCAGGTCTCACTGCCATCTCTTAAACATGCCCTTTAACCTTGGTACCGTTTGTTACGAATAACGCCAACGCTCTTCTCCAACCCCTCCACCTGCCTGCACTCTCTTCTTCACCTCTCTTGTGCTCATCTGTAGCTTTGGATGGTTGACCAGCCAAAGTCATCCACCGTCAATCCTCTTTTCTCCAGAGCATATCTCCACCTGTTCCCTCCTCTACAGATAACAGTATAGTCTGCAAACATAACAGTCCATGGAAACTCCTGCCTGACATCACCTGTTAACCTGTGATGTTGCTATTTTTAATATTTTTGCTTAAAGAGTTGAATGAAATGTTACTGAAGCACCTCAGGTAAAAAAAAAAAATCATGCCTTTATAAAAAGGGAGAAACAGGAAGAAGTTACTCCTTATTATGATTCATTTGGACAAGGTTTTATCTTTAAAAGAACCTATAATATTCACTTCACACACCATATTGTTATTCTCTGATTCTAGTAGAATAACGTGGCATGATTCACAGTTAAAAATTATCATCATTTATCTTTTGGGGCTTTGAAGGATTTTTTTTAGTTCACCCGCTCTCAAAAAAACAAAACATTTATGCCCTATCCTACTCTCTTCCTCTCTCTCTAAGACCACACTCACTTTTAAGCAAGCTTTCTTCTGACTGGCACAGAAGGTCAGAACAGCTGGTGGTTTTTTGTTTGAGGGAAAGAAAATACACCCATGCTCACTGAAGTCTTGAGTACAGCAGGCTTTTCAGCTCCAGCAGCAGGAGGAAAAAAATGCCTCTCTCTTTTAACCAGTTTGGTTGTTTTTTGGTATGAAAGCTGCAAAAGATGAGACACCAGCTAACTACCTTAAAAAAAATGGCACCCTGCAATTTTGAATAAAAACACATAAATAAGCCAATAAAGAGACCAAGCACAAACCAAAGCTAAAAGCTTGGCTCTAACTGCTAAGTGGCTTGTAATGACGTTGGTCACTTAATATTTTTGTAATACATTTCTGCTCAGAACAAAGCACAGAGCAAGTGCAAAATGCCAAGCTCTGTACTCTGCCTTTGGCATCACTCCACCAAGGAAAACATTTCATCTTCTAAAATTAATGTTTAGCCATTACTGAGTATTTCAAGGAATTCTAGACGAAAGCTTTAAAGATTAATTTGATGTTTAGTCACACATCATAACACGTATGCCTCGAACAAGGACTTTAAATCAGCAGTGAGGTGACGGGACAATGACCGTGCAGACTTTAAGCCTGGTGTCTTCAGTGCTGGCCTTTGCCACTGATTGATAAGCCAACAGGAAGGGAGGGAGGGCTTATTCGGCATCCCCACAACACCTGATAACTGTGGGGAGCCAAAGAGTCCTGCCCAATATGCCTTTCTGTGTGCGTGTGTGGGAGTACAAAATGTTCCCTTTGGCTAAAAGAACCTGAGGTACTTCAGGTTCATCAGGCATTTTCCCAGCTTAGAAATGCCTTTTCAGGGCAACACAAGAATCAGATGTGATGGTTTAACATCCTAAA